TTCAGTCGAAACAGAGATATACCCAATTTATCTCAAAAATAGTGTGAGCTGGGTCATCCATGGTTCTTAATGGACCGCATTGAAATAGGATAAAGATCGATGTATTTTTTTAGGTTGCAAACCGAAATCGTATGCGCGTTAATGGCATATGGAGTTTTCGAAAATGTATATTTCGTAATATAGATTTATTTTAAGATTTATTCTTTATTATAGAACCCCAGGATTTATTGGAAGGGTCTTGCTATAATACTTATACAGAAGAAGTGATTATTTTTATATATGCCAATTTTCCGGTGAAATTCGGATAAAATAGAAAATTAACCCCAACATTTTTTCTGAATTTTTTTTTTTTTGTATAAAATTAAAAAAATAAATATGACATTATTTCTTCGAAACAAAAACAAATAATTTTCCTCAATATATTGTTTAGTTGTCGCTGTAATTTTTTTATATTTTTATGTTAATTTTTAGGTGGATGTATGTCATGAATATAATGAAAATAATGAAGTAATCTCCTATATTTTTATAATTTTTCTCATATTTCATATTCTTATTTTACAAAGGAAGATATATATCAACGTTTTTGGTCAATATAATAAACGGCGTAATTTAAAGCTCGATAACTTTTGCACGCATCAACCAAAAATTTGATTGCGAACGGTTACGGAGTCAATGACCTATACTTTGTTTACAATTTAACATGCACAGACAGACAGGTCATGCATAAATCGACTTAAAAAGTGATTCTATGCATATTCTCAAAAGGAACCATGTGTCTATTTTGCTTCCTTTTGCCTGTTACAAACATATGCACAAAGACATAATACCCTGTACCACAGTGTGGCGTATTTGAAAACACACGTGTTAGTTAAGCGAACGCTTAACAACCGCCATTTTGTAAAAATCTATTTTTAAGCCCGTGGGCGTATAATACTCATTTAAACTTTTTAAGGTCACGTCTTTCTTGTGAGCCGTCCGAGGACGAACTGTTCCGTACACTTTTTGAGCCACTACATGCAACGTCATCGTGAACACAGTAATTACGCATTTGTTTAAATATTAATAGACTACTTACTGATCCCAAATGATGTCATTGCCATAGCCACAGTTTTCCGCCAATTCTTGTTGTATTTCACGTATCGTTTTTTTGGGTTTTGACGGTTTTGACAATTTAGCCAATGCTTCTTTTAACTGTTCCACCGATAGGGAATCTATTTTTACCATATCGACTAACACAACGGTATACCCATCTATGACACTTAGAAGTAGAGCTTCACACAACGAACGATCAATGGGATATTTAATGTCTATTTGCTTTTCCCTTAACATTTTCACCAATTGTTTTTCGGTCAAATTGCATATCTTTATTTGCTGAACGTCGGGATATTCATCGCTGCCGATTATCTCCCGCAACTCCTCTTGCAATTTCTTCTTTTCCTTGGACATTTTTTTTTTTTTTTTGCGACTGACCGTTGAGAATAGTTTGCGAAAACTGGCAAACACAGACGAAGTCAGCAGTGTTTTATAACCGCACACAAATACGGGGAATTAAGGGGGTTTTTGGAATTGAATTGGGGAATATCCCTCATTTATGTGGTCTTTGGATGTTTTTTTGCTGGGATATGTAAGTCGACTTTTGGTATTGAATGGTGGAAGTCAAAGTCAGCTGCTTCGATAACTTACGATAACATGTAAATTACAGGGTGACACACAAACACTATTTATAGTTATCTGGCGTTCACAAACATATTTTTGAGGTAGACAATAGCAAAGATATAAACCATATTAACCAATACATTTATATATTTGTCAGTAGTCTAGTGACCCTGTAGGGAAATGAACTAGTTTTAAACTAACTTTTTTATCGATTATATTTCTTTGGACCAACTGACTATTTTTATATGGGGATGAGCGGGGCAGTAGACAGTTATTTTTCAACTAGTTAAAAACTAGTTATTTTTGACCTAGTTAGATAAAAAAGTACAGATATTCATTGGTATAAAAGAGAAATTAATTGGTATGTATAATTTTTAATAATTTTGATTATTGTTTGTTCATTTATGCAATTCTAACGGCCGTTGGAAACCGGTTTCTTGTTTTACGTGCTTCATGTTTTTGATGACACGAACATATTATTCGTTTCAGTCTGGTTGAGTTGAATAATAATTTCTTTATAACTAAACATTTTGTAAAGTAGCTGATGATGTCTGGGATATTTCATAGAGAGAAAATTTGGCTTGACTTTGAAATATATTAATAATAATAATATAATTAATATTTTCATTCATGATTTCAAAAAAATTTTTTTTTCAAATTGTCTGGACACATACGTCGATATTTGGTAACAATAGTTGCTAAATGTTACTGGATGTTGTCTGTTTACTCCAAAAGAAAGCGAAAAGAAAGGCCTAGTTTGACAGTTCTACGCTGATAAGTTACTGAAAGTTATTGGATAAGATTTATCCAGCACAATTCGATACATTTCAATCAGCCGTTAATTTTAAGTTAGGACAAAAGTCAAAAAACATTTTCAATTTTTTGAATTTTGTTTTATAATAAGTCTAAAAAAAATAATTTTCAAGTAATTTAAGTGAAACTACGTGATATTTTGCACAACCTTACTGGATGTTGTCTGTTTACTTTTCTCCGTATTATTGCAAAAGAGAATGGCACAACTTGTTCTCTGAAATATAACATACTGAGTACATGTTACTGGAAAAGTAACCAGACACAACAGACGCATGAATTCAATTGTCTCCGATTGTCCTGTACCCTGTTAACGCAGCGTTCGATTTTCATTCCAAAAATATTAATTAAATTCTTGATCTGTTCTTGTACTGCAAGATTCTTCTAATTTTTAATACTTGTTTCCATGGTATAATTATTACAAGGTAGGGCACAGCTACCAACTGATTAAAATTTTTTCTCAGGTGGCTTGTTCAAATAAAAATACATATTTTGTGTATGTGTGTGTATTGTTTTTAGTTTTGTGTTAAAAAAATGTCAAATAAACACAAACACTTGTTGCGTATATTTATTTTATTTTTGGCAGAAGAGGCCACACGTGCATAGTTGCTTTTTTGTTATTCACCTCAAGCTGTCCTACCTTGTATTATTGTACCATGCTTGTTTCGATATTATAAACGAAAAATTGTTATCGTGGTAAAAAATTGTATATTCTTGCAGTACGGAACAGACCAAATGTCTGTTTGAGAACCCGCAAGAGTTATGATATTAGGGTCGTACCTAAATTCATGCGTGTGTGTACGTTTTTATTCACCTCTAAAGTTAAATACACGTATTTAAATGAATTTTACACAAATACGCATTGCGTACAAAAATATATAGTCTGTTCCCGTACTGCAAGAAACTACTACTTTTTACTACGATAACGAATTTTCCTTTATGATATCGAAGAAAATAGTAAAATCTAGTAGATTCATGCAGTACGGGAACAGACCAATAAAGTTGAAAATTTTCAACATTGAAAATGCGTATCTTAGAATTTTTGTTTTTTTGAAAATAGAATTCCAATCATTGAAAAATTAGTTTTTGTATAAGTGTAGACATTTTTCGGATAATTAAGAAAATGTTGTCATCCATTTTCGCCGTTTTTATTTGACACACAAGCAAATAATATCCTTGCGTATTTGGGTAATACGGATGTTCAACAAACTTCAAAAGGTGAGAAGGTACGGGCCTGAATTTAGGTACGGGCCTTAAAATAAAATTTTTAGATTCATGCTGGTATACTGCATGTTCCACATATTTTACATGACGGTTCTTCAAAAGCAGGTTATAGTCATATGACCATGCCGCACGATGATTTAAATTTGTGTAATAAATCGTGGTGAATTCATCCTGATTAAGAAAATAAACCCTGCTCCAACCTTTCATCATGATTAAATTTTATATGTAAATCCTTTTTAACCCACTCACTTTATGAGGATTTAACTGTGTATTTTGAGTAAATATAAAATGTCCTCTTCTATTAATCTATTAGTCGAAATTATTTTTGATTTTAAAATAGCATAAAAGGAGTTGTATTAAATAATTGTTATTGTTAATTTAATAAATTTTTAAAAATATCTATATGTGTGCTTTTATGTAAATACTATCTGTTCCCGTACTGAACAAGTGGCAACGTTTTTTTTTTTTTTAATTTCACTTAGTTTATTACTCATTATACTATTTAATTAAATCCTTTTAGTTAAATCCAATACGTAAATTCTCTTTTTTATAGGGCATAGAACAATGTGTTATCATGTTGTAGTGAATAACAAAACGAAGTTGCATTCAATGAACTAGTTCTAGTTCGTTCCGGAACTACAAACAGTTGATCAAGCTGATCAGCTGTTGGCTGGTACTCGGTTGGTTTGTTTTGATTCTCATTCGCCACGATTGGTCTTCGGCTAGTTTGCTTTCAACTGCATTCGCCAGGTTAGTCCTCGTCTCGTCCGCTTTGACGTCAGTTTACAGGGTTGTAATTAGCAAACTCTGAATGTGAGCTACCCTTGCTACTCTTGTTGTTCCCTTAAACCTCATTCGTAAACAATGCAACTCCTTTTTAGTCTCCATCCCACCTCATTCGTAACTTTCCGTCTTCTTTTTACTTCTTCTTTACCGGGCATTTTGTCTTATCCCATCCCATTCGTAAAGGTGGAACGTTTTTCAATATTTCTTTTCTTGTGAAGGTGGCGAATGATTTTCTCCGCTGTCAAAAGTTTCATTTAATTCTGGGCAAACTTTTTTGTTTGTAAATTACTCCGAGTTTACCACAAAAAAATTTATATTTCAATATTAATCTTTCAAACATATTTTATATTAAGCAAACGACAAAAACGTTTAGATAACGGCACAAGTAAGCTGCACACAAAAGAAATAGTTAATTACATTTTAAATGCTGTGTTTTGTTTTACCAAACCAAACTACTGTTGGTATTGTTGTTAGTCCCTTTTTAGTCGCCCATGGAATTGTTAGACAAGTTCCAGACAAGAAAAATGTTCAATGGCATGGTTGAAACCGTACGAAACAGTATCGTAGGAACGTATCCTTCATGTCACATTGCTTCGCGTCTGGATGAAAGGCGAGCTAAGGCAAGAGCACTAAGGGCAGAACGCAGGCGAAAGCCAGATAAACCCGATGATTTTGTGACATACGAAGATTCCGGTAGCGACGAGGAGACGCCGGAACAACAGGAAGAAGTACTGCATACATCGTACAATGTCTATGATTTTATACGCAGCCGGGAAAATGGTTTGAGTGAAGTAATAATGTGTCCTAGAGTGTCGTTTTTTAGTTTGGCGATTACAGGCGATTTTAATGAAGGACATGCATTTCTTCGTTTTTTGCAGAGACGTAGCTTTAACTTTGAACAGACCAGTCGCTATGTTTTGACGCATGATATGTTGCGGGAAACGCAAATAAGTTTGGGTTATATCAACAAGGTGTTTTGCTCTAAATGGCTAAGCAATCGTCAGGTTATTTTTGGCACCAAATGCAATAAGGTAGGCGATTCGATTACAAACATACCTATTTATTTTTGTTGTTGTTTGGGTTTTTTTGTGGTTTTGATTACAGCTCCTGGTTTACGATGTAAATATGCGACGTGTTGATGCAATTCCCACACTCTCTACCAATCGTCCCAATCATCCGGAAGTTCAAGGAGGTCTTCATGCAATTGAAATAAATCCAAGTCGTACATATTTAGCTACGGGGGCTAGAAATTCCGCCGACATTGCCATATATCGATTACCAACACTAGATCCTATATGTGTGGGTGAGAACGGACATAGAGATCTAATAATGGGCATGTGTTGGCTTGATGATCAGTTCATAGTGTCCGGATCGAAAGATTCACGTATGGCTTTGTGGCGTGTCAACGAAGAACATATGGAATTTCCCGATGGCGGTAAGGAATTTTGTCCCACAGTAGCCACAATTAATCCACTATGTGTTCGAGATTGTCGTACGGCACACAGAGTAAGTAAAAGAATAATTTATTTCATTTTTGGAAAACAAAAATTCCAGTATACAAATAATAAATTTTTATACCCTTCATCACACTGTGGTACAGGCAAAAGGAAACGAGATAGACACATGGTTCCTTTTGCGAATATGCATAGAATCTCAAAATACAGGTCGTATTTTTAATTCGAATTGGATGAAAATTGGGACAGCTCATTTATTTGGCCCAAGGACGAACCCTATTGAAATTGGGGAATTTAGTTCAGATTTAGATATAGCTCCTATATATATTTTAGTCCGATTTTATTTAAATGGTGCACCAAAGTCCCTATATATCATTCGATTTGCACGAAATTTTGCATAACGTAATTAAGTAGGTCTGGAATGATGTGTGTTAAGTTTCCTGAAAATCGGTCCAGATTTAGATATAGCTCCCACATATATTTTCGTTCGATTTTATGTAAATGGTGCACCAAAGTCCCTATATATCATTCGATTTAAACGAAATTTTGCATAGCGCACTTAATTGAGCCTAGAATGGTGTGTGTTAAGTTTCGCGAAAATTGATTCAGGTTTAGATATAGCTTCCATATAAATTTTCGTCCGATTTTGTGTAAATGGTGCATCGAAGTCAGTATATATATTTCGATTTGCACGAATGATGTCCACAAAAATTTTGTGGGCACGTCTTTTAGCCGAATTTGCTCTAATTTAGTTACCATTGAGAGTTAATTTTCAAAAAATTGGCATGGCTTTGCGCACCATTTATAAATGTCTCGAACGATTACAGGTATCTTAAATGACAACCTAATGGTGAATGGTAGAAAAAGTTCGATCTGGCCGAATTTAATGACGTTTTTTTTTGTAATTTTAGATACGTTCTTTATGTTTTAATAAAGAATTTCGGGAAATTGCCGCCTTATCGCTAAATGGCTTCATACACGTATTTAATGCGGAGACATTTAAACAAAAACTATCACGTAAACTGCCAAATTGTCAAGATAATGTTAGCATAGCATACCATAGTGATGGCCTCTATGCCATTGGATGCCGTTCGTACACGATATTATTGGATACCAGAACGTTACAGGTAAATATTATGTTATTGACGAATTTCGATAGCATTCGCAAGGGAATGTAATACTCTGCTAATTTTTTCATTTTTTCTATTTATTTTGTAGACAATAAAAAAAATCACTTCCCGCTATAGTGGTTGTGGCATACGTTCGACCTCATTTGAAGGCAATCTACTAACAGTTGGCACTGGCCTGGGAATGTTATTATTCTATGATATACGTGCTGGAAAATATCTGGAGAGCAGTGTTAATGCTTCGCGTACTGTAACATTGAAATGCAGCAAAGGTATTGTGGTAAGTATTTGCATTTGGCATTCTTTTTCGTTAAAAGAAAATTTAAGATAACAGAAATTTAATATAATTAAAAAATTGAAACGAGGTTGTATATTGTAATTGACGGGTGTATAACAGCTTTTGGGGAGCACCCCATATTTAAAGACATACAAATTAAGAAAAACCTAAACCTAACCCAATCGATTTCATAACTTCTGAACGCCGTACTTTCTTTAACTATGGAAAGAATTCTGAAATTTCACCAATCGTCGCTTCAGATAACTGTCCAATCCATATGATGCTCGGTTAGAAGAATGAAATTTCCGGGTCATCAGAATGAAATTCGGGTCGTATACCCGAATTGAGACCCAACTTCCCAGAAGAGGCAGTGGAATTAGAAAAAGAGCGGAAAGCAAATTAACTAACCCCAAATAACCCCAGAATCAGAGAACTGACAATGAAAGTAAACAGGTTAGTCGGCGAGCTCAAGCGAAAAAAGTAGCTAGAACATCTGAAGTGTTGTAACATCAGTAACGTTGTCTCTCTCGAACCCATTAAGGAAGGATGATGGGACGTCTGTCTCGCTTAACGGCATTGAAGTGACAGCTCCCAAGAGGTGTAGTTTGTAGAGCACCGCGAGAGAGACAGCGATTAGAGAAGAGTATTGCACCGTATACGATCTCTTCAAGTGGAGGAGGAACTACCATAATTTACGTTGGAGGATATTGCAAATGCTATAAGAAGCCCAAATTCGTCCAAGGCGCTCGAACCGGATGGAATATCTATGCTGATGTTGACGCAACTTGATTAGCCACGAGTAGAGTACCTAACCAATGTCCTCAATTTTTCGTTCGCCACCCTAATAGTTCCCGATGCCTAGAAAATGGGCAGGGTGCTACCGCTACGTAAGCCAGGCAAGTATACTAGTTAAGGTAAATCATACAGGCCGATGTCACTTTTGTGGCCCGCAGCTAAGGCTCTTGAGAAATTACTACTCCCAAAGAATTGGTAAATGCTACTCAGTTGCTGATGACCAAAGCGAAAGCAGCACAGAACACCAACAGCTTTGCTCGCCTTTTCCACACAACATAACGGAAGAACTCATCCAGAACAGGAAGTGTAGTAGGAAAGTTATGGTGGCGCTGGAAAACTGATTCCGACCACTAACAACCCTAAGATCCTGGGAGTAACGTTCGACAGCCTTTTCAAGTCGTCTGCGGAAGCCACT